TTTCAATATGTGTAGGCTTGTGGTTAGGATTTGTGTATGAAATTAAACAAGATGTTTTATTGTATTACAAAATGTCTTTTGTGGGATTTCAGTCACTAGTGTGTATGTGTCCATTTGTTAAAGTTACTGTTCAAAATTTGTAAGAGTTGTGTACCTTTAGCTGTTTAGCATCTTTCCAGGGTTGAAGTTCTAACTGTTTGAATTGAATCAAAACGCTTCTATTTATTGAGTTTGTGGTCTCAGAATAGGCTCCAAAGCGTTGAGCGGGAAAAAGTATTTTTGCTCAAACTTGCTACAATTTTAAGGTCTCAGCCAATGAAAAAGCCAGTTTGCTGAAACTAAGATGCTGATTGGTTAAGAGGTGATTATGCGTGAAAAATGCATTATCCCAGTGGGGTGACAGGTATGGAATATTCCATCAGTCTTTTGTTAGAAAAGAATTCATCTGTGATAATTTGAGTAAAAATATTTGATTTAAAAAAAAAAGAATACATTTGTATTAAAATTTAATCAAGATTTTTGTAATATATGCAGTTGAAAGAGCTATGCATATATGAATAGATTTATTAAAAATCCTGAACTTTAATTACTCTTTTCTATTGCCATTGAAGCTGATTAAGAAAAATTAATTCTTGCATTTTTTATTAATGGTTAGAGGTCAAGATCTTGATTTTTGTCACCATTTAACAATATTTTTGCTAAAAGATAAATTATATTTTGGGGTTTGTTTCTTAAATTCAAATAATAAACACTATTTACACTAAAAGAAAATAAAATTTCAATATCCTAAATCATCATTCTGGGACAGAATGTGGATACTAGTGGTAGTAGGTATTCTAATAAAATTTTCAGCCTTTCATAATGTAGTAATTTTCAGTCTTTTCATAATGTAGTAATACTTATACCAGTACAGCATCTGTATTTGAGCTTTAGATGACACAGTGCAATATTTATTATTTTCCTATTTTCAAATTTCATGACTAATTTTTCATTATTAAAATTTAAAGTGCACCCCAAAGTTTTGGTTATTCTACAAGTTCACATTGAAATTGTATTGATAGCAATAAACAAATTACTAAATAAGCCTCAACCCCAATTACTAGACTATATAGAGCAGGGGATGAAATACTTATTTTCCCCACTGTAGTATTCTGGAACCAAAATAATTAATAATAAACAATAAAAGAAAAATTAAAAGTTAAGCAATAAAAAGAACTTTAAAATACAGATAAGAATAGTAATTAACAATAAAGAAAGATAGAGTTAAATTATAATAAATATATAGGCTACTTTCATGATACATCATAACAAGCATTTTACCACCAAATAAACAAAATCAAAAACTTTCTCTCTCTTCATTTTTCAACGGCAATGGAGGTAGATGTCCTAGACAATTCTCTGATAAAATATGTTGTCACCAACAGATAAGCAAAACTTCTTTAATTATGTATACATATATGTTCTTTAAAATATTCAATAATTTCTCCAAAATTTATATTAAAGCATTTTATCATTTTTGTCTAAGCTTATTTCATTGTATTTCATATGCGATTTTGTTTGTAATTTTATAATCTTATTTGTGGTCTGGTGATGCCCTTTTAACTCTCCCACCTGTCACAAAATACATATATAAAAAAATTACATTCAGACAAAGTCAACACATCACCAGAATACCCAAAGAATAACAATAAGATTTTGAGACATGTGTTGAAATTAATGACAAGAATGTGTATTTTCTTTTTGTGATGTTATTTATAATATTGGTTTTGTATGTGTTAAATGTTCTCAGAGTTATTGTCTCTTTTTGTTTCTTTAAAGTTTGGGCTTACTTGTTTATAATTATTCCAAGACTTTTGTGGTTAAGAGAAACCTTTGAAACCGTCAACTCTGGATTTTTTCATTTCATGATGAAATTTTTCACCACAAGAAATAAAGTCTGAAAGAATACAGATTGATAAGACATGTTTTTTAAAGAAGTAAAGAAGACATGTCTCGTCCAGTCTGTATTGTTCTTTTTACTACTGCTACTTTTACTTGTGGTGGAAAAGTTGTTTTTATAATAATGAAATTTCAGATCTTTATTTCTATAATGATGAAATATCATCATTGTAATGGATCATAACAAGTGCGTCAGTAGTCACATATCTATAAGTAAGGATTTGAACATTGATTTGTTGTTATTCAAATGTCAGTTCATTTTATACTTCATTATAATTATATATTAAAGAAAGAGTAAGATTATAAATCTAGTATTTAACTTGTATATGTCAACATTAGGATAATTTCCATTTGATTTCAGACCATGTACACTTTATTGCACTGTATCTTGTATGGTGTTGCTGTAAGACATTATTTGGTGTATTATATGCCATTGTAATATGTTCAAAGCAAAATATTTAAAATCTATAAGTCATTGTGTTTGGGAGACAGAAAATATTATCTAAGCTATTTTGAATTAGAATATGAGTAAAGTAAGTCTTTATGCAGAGAGCTAGTTGTGCAACTCATAAATAGCAATAAATAAATAGTAATTTGCACTTTTCTGATATTGACCAGAGCAAAGCAAATTATGAATAATCTTGGGAATAGGATGGGTAGAAGCTACAGCCTAACTCAGAAATATCACTGTACTTATTAATACATTATCAATCATATATTTATGAAATAGAATCAAAACTGGAAGATCCTAAATGATAACAAAGAGTAGGACAGAATTATTTACTATATGTACTAAAAAAATCTCTTTTTCTATCAGTGCATCACATAGTATAGTTAAACAAAGAAGTAAAAGAATAGAATTCTATTAAATCCTCACCAAAAATAATCTCTCTAAATTCTTTCAAATTATACTATCCAAATCATTCATTCAATTTAAATGTATTCTGTGTGCCTGTCATTGGGATACTTTTCTGCTTTATGCAATGTTTGCTTTTTGTTCAATTAACCATATGTCAAAATCTGTCTGGATGGCTATGGAACAACAATAATCATAATTCAAAAATATCTTGTTTTTCATGAATTTTCAATGAGAAAACATAAAGATGTGGGCTTAGAGTCGACAATGTCAGTCTGCTTTTTACCAGCACCTTAACTTCAGAATTATTTGTGAAAGAAAATCTAATACACACACAAACAAACATATATATATATATATATATATATATATATATATATATATATATATATATATATATATGTGAAATGTGTATGTATATAAATATATATATATATATATATATATATATATATATATGCTATTTTTTATATATATTATTTATATGTTATATATGTGTAGTACTTATTGGAAAGTGCTCAATATCAGTGATAGAGCTAACATATTTAGTTGGATTGATGTGAGTTTGTGACCCTGGGTTTCATGCTATTTGCGATTGTCAGACAAACTGATTTATTTTTAAATTTTGGATTTATATATGGTTGCGTATATTAGTGTTTTTTTGGAAGTGAGAGGAAAAATAATCATTGGAATGCCACTCATACTTACGCAAACATATATACAGGCACATACACTCATTGACGTATGCAGACAAACATGTACACAAGCTCACTCACCAGAGCTCACAGAAACATAAACATATGTGAACAGTATGGGACTGGGCATATATGCACATCCATGTGTTGTTGCATACATACGTATGCATTTGGTCACTGTATTCAATGTTGGATTGTGCAGCGAATATTTTTGTTTGTTGTGCTGTCAATGAGCAGACTGTTTTTCTGTTTTGCTCACTGAATCATGTTTTCTTGCACGCACATATATATGTATGATGGGGTCTGTGTAAGACTATGATGGGGTCTGTGTAAGACTATGATAGGTAAAAATTGCTATTATTTTTAATTTTTTAAGGCTGTTATTATTTTAAAGCCGGTTATTTGCTTGTTTTTGGCGATTACCACATATGTGAAAGGTAGGAATTCTGATTTGTAATACTTATTAGTATTTATGTGGTGGTATTAATTTTGCTGGGGGAGGGAGAAGTATGTATAATTGCCGACTGATATGGTAATGGTAATTGTGGTGCTGTAGTAATTGTGGACTAATACGGCAATGGTAATTGTGATGTCGTAGTAATGGTGGAGGAGTGGGTGATGATAACAAATAGCAGCAAATAGTTATTGTAAAGTGATAGAAGTGATTGTAGTAATGGTGGTGGAATGATAATAATATCATTCCACCACCATTACTATGATCACTTCTACCACTTTACAAACTCACACTAATCCAATTAAATATATATATATATATATATATATATATATATATATGTATACTTTAAAAATCAGGATGTCAGTTAAATCCGCTACCTTGGTTTCAAACTTACAGTATCCTCAGGCAATTTTATCAAATGAACTCTTAACGCTTTATTTATTTTTTAAAAAAACTAAAGACAACTATATTATATGTTTAAAAATAAATATAAAAAAGACACAATGATGGGTGTAATAGAAAGGGAGGTGGAGGATATGAAGAAGGAAAAAGAAGAAGAAGAAACAGGAAGAGAAGAAAAGTAAGTGTATTATAAATGTCTCAGTGGAGGATTAATTGAAATATACATTTTTTTTTTATCAAGCCTCATATGTGCCGAAGAGGAATTTCCTAGTATGTATGCAAGGACTCAAGACTTCATCTAAAGTCTTGAGACTTGCATAGTGTGTTGATATGTAGGTATTGAAAAATACATTAGTTTATTTTTCGATACTTACCTATCAACACAATATTTTGAATTTATACCCTAATAGCATATTTATAATAAGCCTGAACTTTGAATTGACATACAATGTAACATTGCTCACATAAGACACAGAAATTTAAAAAAACAAAACAACTGTATTGAACAGTTCATAACTCTCAGTACCTGACGAATGGGAAAGCCATGAAACTCTGAGTTATACTGCAAATGTAGGTATATGTGTAATTATAATATATATATATATATATATATATATATATATATATATATATATAAAAAAAACACACACACATAGATAGATAGATAGATAGATAGATAGATAGATAGATAGATAGATAGATAGATAGCCATGACCTTGAAAATGGCTGGAAGCACTCAGGACAATAATCATGAAGGACAGTCTCTACACAATTATAAAACTCTACAAAAACTGAATAAGAAATTACAAAATATTCCTTATCCATCATGTTCAACAAAACATCTATAAAAGAAGGATTATTGCAAAATATACAATACACACACACACACACACACACACACACATATATATATATATATATATATATATATATATATATATATAGTGGAGATTGAAGTTAACACCCAGTGGTAACAGTCTGTTTCATGCTTATATGCAGTTGTCAGGCCATGATAGCCTGATGATTGTGTATCAGCATGAAACAGATTGTCGCCACTGGGTGTTGACTTCAATGTCCGCTTTTATATTGACACGGGTGCATATGGGTAGGAAGGTCTATTGTGTTATCCTAATGTTTATTGGGTGGGCGGTAATGATTATATATATATATGGTATGTTCAAGTTATTCTAGAGGCTGTTGAGTAGAAATAAATGTCATTTGTAGGCATTTTATAAAGTTGTTTATTAACTTTTTACTCATTATTTATTATTGATTACTTAATTATTCATTGTTGATTATTTTTATTACATTTACTTGTGTTTAAGAGTTTATAGAATAGATAGAAATCACTTATAAATCTCATTCTTAGCATGTCTGCTCATCATTTAAAAATCACAGAAAAATGGTATCATAAAGAGAAGAGTATACATTTAAAATACTGTATACCTAGGATTTCTTTGTTTTTTAATAATTCATTTTTTAACACTGATTGGTTCTACAAATCATTGAGTTTCTTTTCAGATAGTCAAATCTATACTGCAGGTTTATTGCTGGTGTATATTTGGTGGTTTTTCACTGTACAAGAGTCTGCCAAACAGTTCTTCGTCTGAGCTACCTTCTAAAATTAGTATTTCAATGAACAAACATTAAAATACTGATTTTGGGAAGTGGTTTGGGTTAAGAACATTTCAGTGCCTCTTTTTATTTTATAGGTGGATTTAGTCTAACAAATTAATGTTGAAAACATATTCTTTCTTTTGTTTAACATTGTCATTTTTTCTTCTTCTGGATGATGTTAAATGTATAAGTATCTAGTAGTCAACATATAGACTGAAATTTCATGCCTTTTAGTAATTTGTTTTTGATATTAGCCAATAGTTAGGAATTTTTCATATTGACTAATGTGATTTTAATGGAGAAAATATGAATAGTAAACTCTGCATTTCTTTTTCTCCATTTTTGGTTTATTTGCCATGCTTGTTGCCTTTCCAGGCTTTGTAATATTCTCTATTTATGTGCAATCATTGTGTTGTAGCAACAAGATCAAGCCAAGATATTTGATTGCGAGAAATAACTCAGCAATGTTAGGATGCATGCCTTAAAAGAATTATACACTGAAATAATATGGAAGAAACAGTATTAAAACTATTTTATTGGTCATAGTCATCTTTTGAATTACCTTGAATTTTTGATTTGTTTAATTTTAAGTTATTATTATTATTAAGTTTTGATTAAAAATGAATTCTACTGATAGAAAATAAATAGAATCAGTGCTGATGCTAACTGTGGAGAGATAAAAAAGATTATGTTCATTGGATGACAATGACATTTTGTACTGACAAAAAATGAATTAAGTATGGATAATGTGTGCCATAAATTTCATGTTTAAATAAATAAAAAATAATAATTATTAACATTTTGATCTAAATGGAAACAATGATTGAAATAAACAATTGATATGAAGAGAAATTATATTTAAAGAATTTTCTTTGCCACAATATTTTTACTGCAGTTTTGCATTTTTGCTTAGGGTGCCAAATGAGTAGGATTCCATTCTCTCAATGATGTATTCCCCTCTTTTTCCTCTCCTATATCTGTCTCTTTGCTGCCTGTTGTCAATTCTATCTATCTATCTATCTATCTATCTATCTATCTATCTATCTATCTATCTATCTATCTATCTATCTCCAATAACACAAAAATTAGATCCCACTCCCACAAAAATATGGTTGAGTATTACGCTATCTACCTAGATGGGAATATAAAAAAAACATAAACATGACTTTTTACAGTTTATAAATTCACAAATTCCTACCCATGTCTGTCACTTCTCAAAGGCTATAAAGCAGCTGATCCTAGCATATTTACCAAATTAATAGTATTTCCACTAATTGGGTTCTTCAAGTTGTCTGCTTAAATAAACCTAATGCCATTATTGCTTCATTAAATTTCAAAAGTCTCTTTACTTAATCCCTTGTTAAAGAAAGTAGAGAAAAAGTAATACATTTTTCACTAAACATTCTTCACTACCACTTCCTCATATTAAACCAACAATTCTACATAAACTTCTTCTGTTCTCACAAGTACCTTTTTTCTGACCATCAGGATAACATTTACACTGAGAGTGACAGCATAGCTAATGACTCATTTCTCAATCCTGTTTTATCTATCTTCCACATAGCTCAGCTAAGAAACAAAATATTTTGCAATTTTACCAGATCTATGATATTATAAGTTTGATATATTGATGATATATTTATATATAAAAAAAATGATGAAATAAAAACCTTAAAGAAACTTTTGAGGAAAACTGTTCTACCCTTTACTGATGAATAAATAATTGGAATTGCATCTGAAGTAGAAAGCAAAAGCTACCAGAATCATTAATGAAAAAATAATTATAATTATTAGAATTATAAGAGTGGACACTGAGGTCAACACCGAGTGGTGACAGTCTGTTTTATGCTCGAATACCATCTTCTGGCCATTGAAGATTGTGTTCAAGCATGAAACAATCTGTTGTTAGTCAGTGTTGACCTCAGTGTCCACTCTTATATTTACACATGCTCTATCCCTGATATCGAGCATTTTCACCAATAAATATAGAATGAGATTAAAAGTATTTTTTTATTATAATTCTTACAATTATATATTATTTTACTTGTACTATAAAATGAGATATGCTATTCATCACTCATATAACATGAAGGTTTGACTGTCATCTTTAACAGGAAAATTTTTAATTTGAATGTTGGTAAAAAATATCGCTGATAAAATTTCCAAATTATTCATGGCACTGAACAAATAAAATTCCATATAATTCAAGAATTTGTCAAGTCAGAGTAGAATTTCATTATTTAAGAACAAGCTGGAGATCAATTTGAAATTTTTTCTTAATCAAATGTTTCATAAAAAATATACATTTAAGTGAAGTTTTCAAAATTATCAGTAACTCCCATAGGAGATATTTTTTCTTGATGTTTGCTATTAATTTTAGTTGTGGAAAATATCAGACAAGTTTTGTTTTTAGTATTCATTTGTTAATTGATTATTAGGTCATTATGTTATCATTTGCATAGTCAGATTACTTGCAGAAATTCAGTGCTTGGAGAGTTTATTGCAACTCTTCTTTTATACTACAAGAAGAAATATAAGAGAAGTCAATGTTTTGGGTTTAAACTGCTAAGTCATAAAAATTTACAAATACTGAGGAAACAAATTCTGTAAAATACAAAAAAACAAAGATTAGTTTTCTTCAGATCATAGAATCGCAGTTTCATGATACTGACTTTTCATTAGCCCAGACACATTACAAATCTTTGTATATATTTTAAGTATGTGATTTTTATAGCTTACATTCAAGGTTCTATTTTTTAAATTGCCAAACAGAGGCCAGTTACAGTTTCTTCATTGAGAAATTCATTGAATGTTTCTTTTAATACTGTGACATTTAAGTGTGGCTAAAAGCCAAAGGTATCATTTTAGTTTTTGTGTCTACACAAAAGAAATACTTTTATTTCCACAAGAAACAAAATTGGAATAAAAATAAGAGTAAACTGATATAATAAGCTGAGGTTTCTTATAAACTTGAAATAAATAGACATATTTTACAAGTACAGAACTGTCTACCAGGAAGAATGATGTCATCATATTTTTTAGTACTTTTTAAATTACTTGGAATTCTTAAATAATTATATATTTTGTAATGAGCTAGAAAAATGTTATTTGAATTTAGCATGGGTCATGGAAAAATCAGTTAATAATTTTAGATTGATTGATTTGGGACATATAAACTTATAATAAATATTTAAGTTATTTAAACCAAGACAAATTTTAAATTAAACTTTTGAAATGTTCTATCTTATCTGTTTATATATGGATACATTTTCTGATTACAATCTTTTCCAAATATATTATTTAAGTAATTGCTATCTATGTATCACTCACCTTGTAATATTTCAATTTTCTGTTTAAAATGATAGCTATTCCATGAGCAGCTGAAAGAAATAAAATCCCAAAGAGATAATCAGATATCTCAGAATCAGAAGAGAAATATGTAAAAAATTATTTCTTGATATGAACATTGTCTGTTTTCACAAAAATGAAAATAAAAGGAAGATACAGAAGAAAAAATTGCAAAAACTTATGTTCCTGTTGATAAGCACATTTTCTAGTTTTAGCCTGTTAGCAACAGATCTGATCTGATAAGTCAAGTATAACTGATCACTACTTGCAATGACCATAAGTAATTAAAGGGGAAGACATATTGATGACTCTCTTTATGCATTCATACATGTTGACCTCCCATTCAATTGTACATCATCGATTGAGTTTCAGGCAAGTGAAAGCCTTTTGTCATTGCTTCTGTGCCTTTCACAATTGGATGCTTTGAAGGGAAATACACATCAGAAATTTTAGGAGGCTGGACAATTGGAGAATAATAGATGCCATTGTATATCCTTCTTCTGATTAGGGGTAAGGCTTCTTTCTCATCAACCAATGATGTCTTTCAGTCTTTGAATAGAGCTTGAGAATCATGAGACTTTTTAACTTAATATCGTTATAAAATCCTTCATGCTAAAATGTAGTGAAAAGACTAATGTAGGTATAAATTATCTGAAGCTTTATTCAAATCAGAATGAAGTGCATCCAAGTGGGACTTAATTAAATATAGAATACATGTAAGGGGAGATAATCTATACCAAACTAAAGTAAAAACAATGACTGTGATTGTTTCCTAAAGCTTGAGCAAGGTTTTAAAACTTTATACTATGAGTGCTACTGTGGACTATAAATAAAATGAACATTTTAAACAGATTCAAATCTAGTAGAAATCACTAGACATCATGTATCAATACATTTGAGAAAAGACATGAACATGGAATTACTACTTATATACAAATGCACCCCAGGAAGAGTAAATTTGGTATGCAAATTTTCTTGAAGGCAGAAGAGAGAATCCTAATATTCAGTTCTAATAAACATCACTGATGTAGATTCCTGGTGTAACATAATAGTGTTTGAGATATGAATGCTGAAATGCATGACATCATAAAGTAGATATTAGTCTATTTGTAAAATTTATAAAATTCCTCTGTATCTGAATTAATTCTGTATATCAATTTTTAGCCTTTACTCTGGATAGTACATAATTTTTAAAAATTGTATTAGGACTTTTGAAGCTTCTTGTTTAGTTCCTTGACCAAAATCTAAAATTTATAAAAAATATAGTGCATACAACCATTATTAAATTTTAATTGTTGCAGTTTTTTTTATATGTTTATGGGTTTTCTCTCACAATAAAGCAAACAGATTATAAAATTAAGGGAACCGTGTTATGATTCATACAACTGACGAAGAAGTAGTTAGGCACCTATTGTATTCATTAAACCATTTTACTACTGTCTAAATAAAAGGTTAAATTAATGCAAAAATGGTAAATGCTTATGGCAGCATCATGTTGAAATACCAGTGCCCATACAATCACTGAAGTTAAGCAACATTGAGTCAAGTCATTACCTAGTTGGGTGACTGCTTGGGAATACCAGATGCTGTAAG